AGAGTGTCTAGCTGCAATTATACAGGGCATTGTTGAGGCCATACCTGGAATATTATGTCAGTTTTGGACTCCTTATCTGAGGCTTATGTTCCTGCTTTAGAAGGAGTGCAGCAAAGGTTTACCAGCTTGATTCCTGGGGTGGCAGGACTTGTGAATGAGGAGACGTTGAGTTAAGATTGTATACACTAGAGTTTAGAAGAATAAGGGGGAAGATCTCATATATACCTATAAAATTCTAACTGGACTAGACAGGTTAGATACAGAAAGGATGCTCCTGATGGCGGGAAAATCTAGATATTGATGAGAGCAGCACATTCGATGTGGTTTATATGAAATTCAGTCAGACCTTTAACATTGTACCACATAGAAGGTTGGTGCAGAAGTTAAGAGCTCATGGGATGCAAGGCTTGGCAAACTGGGTCCAAAATTAGCTTGCAAATAGGAGGCAAACGGTGACAGTGGAGGGTTGATTTTGTAATTGGAAGCCTATGACTAGCTATGTACCACAGGGTTCAGTGCTGGAACTCTTGCTGTTTGTGTATACATTGCCGACTTGGATATAAATGTCGAAGGTATAATTAGTAAGTTTGCAGATGACATTAAAATTAGTGGTAGTGTTGATAGTGAGGAGGGATGGTCATAGAATCTTAATCCCAAACTAAACTAGTCCCACCTGCCTGTGCTTGGCCCATATCCTTCCAAACATTTCGTATTCATGTACTTATCCAAATGTCTTTTAAACTTTGTAACTGTACCTGCATTTTTCACTTCCCAAGTTCATTCCACATATGAATCACTCTGTGTTTTAAAAAAAAGTTGTCATTCATGTCTTTTTTTTAATTTTTCTCCTCTCTCCTTAAAAAAAAAAAGCCCCCTAGTCTTGAAATCCCCAACCCTAGGGAAAAGACACATGTGATTCATCTTACCTATAGCTCTCATTGTTTTATAAACTTTGATAAGGTCACCCCTCAACCACCTACACTCCAGTGAAAGTCCCAGCCTTTCCTGATACTCAAACCCTCCATTCCTGGCTACATCCTGGTAAATCTTTTCTGAACCCTCTTTAGCTTTAATATCCTTCCTACTACAGGGCGATCAGAACTGGATATAGTACTGATCAGCTGAAATTAGGCAGAGCAACGGCAGATGGAATTTAATTCCAATAAGTGCAGGGTGATGGGACGTCTCATAAGGGAAGGATATACACAATGAATGGTGGGTCCCTTGCGAGAACTGCTGGGGAGTTCAAAACTGGACAGCATAATTTTAAGGTGACAGGAGAGAGATTTAATGGGGACCTGACGGGCAACTTTTTCACACAGAGGGATGTTTGTATGTGGAATAAACTGCTAGTGAAAGTGGTAGATGCAGGTACAGTTACAGCATTTAAAAGACATTTGGACAAGTACATGAATAGGAAAGCTTTAGAGGACTATTGGGCAAACACCGGCAAATGGGTCTAGTTTAGTTTGGGAAACTTGGTCGGCACGGACGAGTTAGACTGAAGGGTCTGTTTCTGTGCTGTAATGACTCTATGTCTATGACTCTATAATTAGGGGCCATAGTTTAAGGATAAGGGGTAAACTCTTTAGGATTGAGATGAGGAAAAATTTCTTCATCCAGAGAGTGGTGAGCCTGTGGAATTCACTACCATGGAAATTAATTGAAACCAAAGCATTTTGTGTTTTCAAGAAGGAGGCAGATCATAGAATCCCTACAGTGTGGAAGCAGGCCATTCGGCCTATCGAGAAAACACTGACCCCCCGAAAAACATCCCACCCAGACCCACCCCCCACCCTATTCCTGTAACCCTGCATTTCCCATGGCTAACCCACCTAGCCTGCACATCCCTGAACACTACAGACAATTGAACATGGCCAATCCATCTCACCTGCGTATCTTTGGACTGTGGGAGGAAACTAGAGCGCCTGGGGGAAACCCATGCAGACACCGGGATAATGTGCAAACTCGACATAGACAGTTACCCTAGGGTGGAATAAAACCCGTGTCCCTGTTGCTGTGAGGCAAGATGCTGCGAGACCTGCTGAGCTTTTCCAACAATTTCTGTTTTTGCTTCAGTCTTCGCTTTCTCCCTGTCTCCCTATTTTTCAGCTATAAGTTTGTCAACTTGAGATGTTCTCACCTCCACGGTTTTGTTCTACATTGTGCCTTCCCAGACCACCTCATCACTTCACCTCCAGTCTCTACTCCCCACTTAGATCTTTTTCATTCTCACCCCATCACCCTTAGTGACAGAGCTTTGGCAACCTTTCCCCATGTTTGGAATTTCTTCCCTAAGATATCTTCAAAAGACACCTTTTAATATCTGCACATTTAATCATGGTGTGCTCCAGAACATTTGTGACAGTATGAAGGTGCCTCTTATAAGTTTGAATTACTGTTTAATGGTGAGTAATTTTGCAAAGACGGCTTTGCATCTTTCAGTCGGTATGGTGATTTATAGACAGATTTGTCTTATTGTCAGTCCGTTACTACCACTGCCTTCAACTGTTGACATGGGCGGGGTTTTTTCTTTCTTCTGTCCTTTTCCACATGCATGATCATTTAGCCAATCAACATATAGCTTTGACGGACTCTGTAATCTGTCATTAACATATGACTGAGCGAAGAGAATAGAGTGAGGGATGGAGCTTGGTTAATGCCAAGACAGGGACTTGGAACTGACAGACTCTTAATGAGTCGTGAAAGAAATATTAATGCCATTTAGACCCCAGAAACTGATTCATCAAAAAGAAATGCTCCAGATGGGAACGAATGCCAGGGACGATGGACATGACCTGTTTTGTCTGTCACGTACTGTGATCTGTTAAACAAGGATCAAATGTAAGAGAGCACAACTACTCCTCTGGCTCAGTGGGAAAATGCACTGTCTTTTCTGACACTGAGCTGTGCTGACCTCTGGAGTCCAATACCCCTCTGGCAGATCATTTCCGTGACTGGAATTGAGACACTTCAGTTCAACCCAGCATTTCCCAGCTAGGGAGGATAAAAGAAAATCAACCTAGCTTTGCTCTCTCAAATATTGCTAAAGAGTCTATGTGTTTAGTAAGGACAGGAACATTGTAATGCTGTCCATAAGCTGTTCTGTTGATATATTCTACACTGAATCATTTCATTCCCCACCTTCATTTGAGGATGGAAGCAAGCATAACTTATTTAGTAGCTACATGTTTTTCTTCCCTCCCCTTCTTTGCAAACGCTGCTGCAAGTCACTTTTTCTCCAAGTGTTTGGAATCCTGAATAGTAGAGTAAATTGCAGGGATGAGATTGATGCAAATTAAACCTAGGCAAGGTTACATCAGTTCTCTGCCACATTGCCCTGCCAACCACTTGATACCAGTTCAAATGTTTTTCTGACTATACATTTTATCATGAAGGAAAGAGAAACTGAAACCACATCTGCTTGTGTTGGCGTCTAGAAAACCATTCTTGTGTTTACATTTTTTTAATGCATTTGTACAGAGGAGACAAGATGGGATACATTTAAATTTTCAACTTACAGTATTTGATAAAATGTATTATACAGTTACTTTTAAACAAATTGCCTGCTTTCTTCCAGCTGCTAGACACAGCTTTGTGGTATTTGGTGTTGACCATCAATTCAAAGCAATCAAACACATTTTTCTCGATCTCTTAGCTGGTTGTGGATCAAATGGCAGCCAAAACACCTCGAGAAATCTCCCTGCTTGTCTTCAAATGGAGTTAAGGGATAGAGTCACACAGCACAAACAGACCCCTTCAGTCCAACCAGTTCATGCTGACCATAATCCCAAACTAAACTAGTCCTACCTGCCTGCACTTGGCCCATATCCCTCCAAATATTTCTTCTTCGTGTTATTCTTTTGCATTCACCTGACAAGACTGTAGTTTAGTGTTTGATCTGAAAAACAGGCCCTCCAACTGTGCAGCACTCACTCACTACTGCGCTGAACTGTTAGACTAGATTTCGCGCCCAAGCCTCTTAAGTACTACTTGAATCAAAAATGTTCCCATTGATCCAATGTCTTTGGTTCCATAGTAACCAAGTGTCTTCCAGTACTTTTTGCCTAAGTAGTCATATTTGTGTAAGTTGGGAAAATGGGTGTCAACATACTAACCAATGGTAAAGGGAACGTTGCCGTGGAAGGGGTCTATGTAATGCATCAGGATCACAGCTAACCTGAACTTGCATGCTATGCACATTTAGGTGATAAGTAAATTGGGAAAAATAGCAGCCTTGTACCAGATGAGGTGACTGTTGTGGAATTAATGCGCAGAATATGCTTAGCTAGAGGCTAGAACCAGTATTAAATAGAAGAGTTGCAGGATCCTGGGCAAATTGGGGGACAATAGAGATGGAAAGATGAAGTGCCATAGGGCACCACTGTAGAAGGAAATATTCATGTCTGGTGTGCAGGAAAAGGCTGTTATTTGCTGAATGAGGAGGTAAGTGAATGATAACAGACATGGAAGAAAGGACAGCGACTTTTGTCTACTATCCAGTGCTTACACATTTCGTCAGGGAGCAGAACCTGCCACCTCTTTAACTGGAACAAAACAAAGAACAGCGGATGCTGGAGATCTGAAACAAAAATAAATTGCTGGAGAAACTCAGCAGGTCTGGCAGATTCTGTGGGGTGAAAGCAGAGTTAATGTTGAGGCTGGTGATTCTTCATCAGACTTTTGACAATGAAGGGTCATTGGACCTGAAATGTTAACTCTGCTTTCACCCCACAGATGCTGCCAGACCTGCTGAGTTTCTCCAGCAATTTCTATCTTTGTTTCACTCCTCTGACTGGTCTGGCCTATCTTTGCCCTGAGGATTTGAACTCTCAAGCTCTACTTTTTGATTTAGGGTTAAAACAAGTGAAGAGAAAAGTATTACCAGAAATAGAATACACAAGACAGCGAATATACAAAGCTTGAATGTATCTGCTGCCAATAGAGTTGCTTCATCAGTGGTCACAATTGTTTCATAAGCTGTTGCATTCCTCTTGCAGTTTCGAAACTTCAAGATAATTTATCGGCGTTATGCTGGGCTCTATTTCTGCATTTGTGTGGATGTCAATGACAACAATCTGGTCTACCTGGAAGCTATCCACAATTTTGTAGAGGTAAGAAGCAACTGAAGCCTGAAATATTGACATAACCTCTCTGTTTTTAATTTTGACTCAGATCATATAGAACAATCTTTCCTAAAACCTTTGTAGTCCATGTTATTTGCTGGCCCAAACACCAAAAGACTACCTATTTTAAAAAGAAAAAAAGTATTGTAATGATTCCAGCTGATGGTAATACTGAACAAGTCATATCCTACCGTGAAACTTGGGTTGTTGGGTCATAAGTTTAATATTTGCTGTTGGGCTGAAGGATTATGGAGAGCAGGCAGGGAAGTGGATCAAGGTGAGATCAGCCATGATCATGTCAAGTGGTGGAGTAGGTTCAAGGGCTGAATTAACAACTCCTATGCCCAGTTCTTATGATCTCGTGTTACCATGGTGGTTAGTCACTGAACAGTTACACAAGGCTGTGCATGTTTTTTAACCCAAGAATGCAAGGTTAGTCAGAGAAACAAGCAAAGCTATATCTATAAAGACTTTTGCTGTTTATGTTAAGAATTTTCTAAACTAATTTTCAACCTATTTTTCTGCCGTATCCTTAACAGATATTCAATGCCAGGGAAAGAATATTTATAAACTAAGGTCCTTCTGCTAAGGTGACTGTTCTCCTGAACTGGAAACTTGATTCTTCTGCTGAGAGGGAACAGTTCTTCTGAACTGAACTCCTGATGCTTCTCAACTGAAGTCAAACTAAAGTAATATTCTGTTTTCTTTGTTTGTTGCAAACTCAGCAGTATAAACATTTCATCATTAACTCCACAGCTATCCCACTATGCACTTAACTGAATTATACGCTTCCATGGAGATGATGTATTTAGATCACTGTTTCAAATGACTTTCCTATCTCTTTAGTTTCAAAAGAAACTTCACAGGACTGAACTAAACCCATCTGCATAAAAAGCCCGAATTCCAAAATTTTAATATATATTAAAAACCTTTATCATAGTACTTTGAATGCTGAGCTATCAAGAACAAGAAGATCACTTAGGATGGGTGCGCTGGGGAAATCCATGAATCTGTTTGGAAGATACCTGCTTGTATCCCAGCCTTAGCCATGTCTACTGCCTTCCACTTTGCTGCTCTGTGACTTGCCACACTTCCACTTCAATCATCTCCCAATTTTGCTCCGAGTGATACAATTCCGGTATGTAGTGTGAAGACCTGTGAATCTGAGCTGGAACACCATCAGGAATCCTACCCCTGGATGTGTAAAAAGCAGAGAATAATAGGTTGTGTGGAGATCTAGGTTTCCTGTTGCTGGGTGCCTGTTTTAAATTGTGTGTATACAACATATGACCTTTTGTGATGCCTTCCATGAGCGAACAGCCCACCTATTTTCATTGTTGGGTATATTACTTTAAGAATGGACACTTGCATAAGGTACCAAAGGGCTACAGCTATGGCAGGAAATCTGTGCAAACTGAATTTGTGTGCAGGCATGTTTTAATTTATCAGGAAGTTTATAATTGCTTCCTCCCTTTTAATGGGGCTAGTTAATCGTGATTGCTTTGTCTCTTCAGTAAGGGAAAGGGATGTTACCAAGGCTGGGCTTTAGAAAGGAGTTGGAAGACATCATTTATGTAAATGGACCACTGCAAAGTGACCAGAGAGTGTTTGAATCTGAAGGGCAGTAACCTTTCTCATCGAAAAGACCCCCACCACCTCCTCCAATTGAGGTATGGTAGTTTTCTCCAATACGCCAGTGCTTAACACAAGTGTCCATTCTTTGTGTTATGTCCTGGGAATCAGTAGACAATTCAACCATCAGAGGCCCCGTTGGTGATAATGGCCCTGCTCTTACCTGATGTTCACATTGTTTGCAGTGTGGTTTCTATTGACCAGCAATTAGGAGCAGTAGCCCTATTATTTTCTTCTTCCCTAGCCCAGGGAGTATCAATTTTATTGCCAAATAATTATTACAATCTGGCCTGGCTGAGATCAACAGTAAACGCAGAATTGCAACTGGGATGTGCTGTGCTGCGCTGCATGATTGTATGGTGGATGAGGCTCTTACCTATCAAGTCTCTATCCACGAGCCAGTGCAGACACAATAAGCCGAATAGCCTGTTGCTGGGCTGGTTCATTCAATATATCTAAATCCTTAAGTTAGTTACATGTAAGATTTAGTGAAAGAGTTTACATTGCCTTATTACTTTAGAACACAAAAGCCATTTATAAAGTATTGCAGCTGAGTATAAATCTTCACCCCCATCCTCTGGATTTGCTGTGTACTGGGGTCAAGAAACTTGTACTCTGAAAATAATTGAGGTGAAAGTTCTGAAAATGATCTTACAAAGTTTATACTTCTTATATTTGCCCATTAATTTGCAGTTATTTCAAAATCAAATCTAGTTTTCACAATGAGGGGGCAGAGAATAATTGTATCACAGTGCACAGATGAATTTCAGTCTTCATTTAAATTTTATATACTTTGTAATTATTATGAAGTCCTCCATATGCACTTTAAACTGTCCATGTGAATTTGACATTATAATTACAAATCTGGGCATAGAGTACGAGAGCAAGGAGGATGTGATGAATCTGTTCAAACATTTTGTAGGCCTCAACTGGACAAAAGTAATTCAATTCTGGATGCATCACTTTAGGAAGGATGTGATGCTTTAGTGAGGGTGTGGATAACTACTTAGATTGGAGAAGATTAAGAGATGATTTTCAAAATCATGAGGCATTTGTACAAAGTAGAGAGAAACTTTACCTGTGGGCGGAAGGGTCAAGACCAGAAGACACCAATTTAAGGTAATTGGCGAAAGAAGTAACTATACCATGAGAAATTTGTTTAAGCAATAAGTGGTTAGAATCTGGGATGCGCTGTCTGAGAGTGTGGTTGAGTTGCATTCAATTGAGGCTTTCAAAAGAGAGATGTCTGATTATCTGAACAGGATGACGAGGAATAGCGGGGAGGAGTAAGACTAAATGAGCTCATCTTAGAGAGCCAGAATGGGCTAAATGGCCGCCTTCTGTGCTGTAATCAGTGCACAGTTCTGTAATTTCACCCTCCTGCCAACTGTGAAAATGTAGCACCTCCACCTGTAGAAGTGTGCAATTACATCTTGGCCATTTAACCTCAACAAGTTTCCATTGTAACTGTGAATGTTGGAGGAAACTCCCAATGGAAATTATGTGCAGATGTAAATTTCTTATTGTACTAGGGTCTCCAATTTGCACATATCTGACTTATGAATGTCGCTACTTAGGAACGTGATCCCATTACAAGGGTGTAATTTTAAAGATCCAACATATGAACATTTCCTGGAATACAAACAGCTATTTTTATATTGTCCTGCACGGTTTTCAATCTTTCATACAACTCAGCACGCGCATAAACTCAAGAACCGAGTCCATTTGCAAACTGGGGAATGTCTGTAAATATTGAGAAGCCAAGGTGAGGAGTCAGGTTATGGTAGACAAGTGAGTGAAAGATGAATTGCTTTCATTTCTAATAGGTAATGTTGGAAATATTAAACAGGTCTGGCAGCCTCTGTGGAGAGAGAAACGATTAGTACTTCGTGATAGTGACCTTTTATCAGTGTTAAATTCCTAAATTCTTCATTTATTTCAGCCATGGTTAGTTGATATCCAGCTTGGAATTTAAAATCTTATAGACTGTTAAGTGGAGGAGAAGATTGGGGAAGTCAGGCTTGTGTTAAGAAGAAGCAACAGTGTGCCAGGTCCTGATTGCATATTTGAAGGCAGAGATGTCTGAAAAGTAAGCATATTTGAAGTATTTGTGTAATGAAAGAAAATGTGCATGGGGTGACCAAGGAGCTTTCATGGAATATAGATGGGCCATCTGATCAGACAAACTGTTGATTGAATTTTACATGGAAACATGAAATGATCTCTGACACACGCAGATATTGAACCAGTCTTCAAATCCTGGACTTCAGATGTTGAATGCCTAATGATGTTTGCTAAATTGGCTATTAAAATGTGAGATAATATGCAGGAAGTATTTATGCCCTCCAGGAGCTAGTTGTGCCATTCATAGGAAAACAAACCATCACAGAATGGTTATCTTCTGAGTGTCCTACTTCCTTGTCCTGTTCTTTTGACCTTTTCTTTTTAAGAGTAACCACTGTTTGTTTCCTGGTCTGCTAAAAATTTGAACTGTCAAAGGTCAAGCAGAATCCCACATTTAAATAAAAGGGTATGAATAAAGATGTAGTGACATTGTTTCGCTTGTTGTCTGCATTTTATTGCAGGTTTTGAATGAATATTTCCATAACGTCTGTGAACTAGATCTTGTCTTCAACTTCTACAAGGTAAGTCATTTTGCTGCTTTGTTTCTCCCCAACCGTCTTTTCATGTTTTCCCCTATTACCAATCCACCAAGAACCTAGCCACTCAAGAGTGGGCAGGAGGTCTAGGATGACTTAACCTCTAATGTTTTAATTAAGCATTGTCCTGCTGTAGTGGGGATTGAACTTGCAGCTTTTGATTTGTTCAGGCCTTTGGACTGCTAGTTGAGTAATATGACCACTATGCTACTGCGTGCCGTGTCAGCTAACGTAGCAAAATTGGCAGATGTTGAGAATGTTGACAGAAAAGCAAGGTTGAAAACTGTGATGACAAGTGGTAAAATTTCTGTACAGGAAATACATGAGATTTTTAATATACAAATATAGCTCAGTTGAATAAACCTGGTTAACCTGTTTGTAATGCCCCTTTTAAGAATATGTTGGATGCATTTTGATTGTGATTAGTCAATTTTGAGGCCCATTTGTCCAGCACATTTTGCTGTTGTGCCAACATGTTCATTCACTTCAGCCCCTAAAGTTATTCTCATTGCTACCAGCATTTTATGCCAATGTTACATCTCCTCCAAATCCAACTCCAGTCTGGCAGGGCATAATCTATAATTTAGATCCAATTTTACCTTTTAAGTAAATTTCATTCACTCACCTTTATCCTTTCCTTAAATTCTCCATGAATGTTGAATCGGCATTAGTTTGACAAGCAATGTAATTGTATCCCAAAGGGTTCAATTCACCACTTGCTGTACCTATGTCACAGTCTTGCTACTTATTCAACCCTTATAAATACTATCCTACTCTTTGTTTGAGCAAGGTTCAGCAATTTCCTTGTACCATGCAAATTCATTGTGGTTGGTGTAGTGGGGGCAAGGGAAGGGGAATATTACCTGAAAATTGATCTCTCTTGCCTATATTAATCAGTATTCTGCCTTGCTTGAAACCCTTTTTAGCTAAGGATGAAGAACTGTGTTGTCCAGAGCTTTAACAATACAATATTTTGATGAAAATTGTTGCTTTCAACTAGTAGTCTCACCTGGTATCTCAAGGGCAGTTAGGCAACGTCAACAAATGCTTGCCTTTCTAGCGAGGTTTGTATCCCAAGAACAAATATTTTAAGAAGCCTTTGTTTGATATTAAATTTCTGAAACACAAAGATGTCAGGTTAGCTGATCCACTCTTCAGTGAACTGATGTAAGGACGGAAGTCAGGATACAGCAATAAGTTTGCTTCAGCATATCTTTAAAATTGACCACAAATTACATAACCATATAGATAGACAGGATATTTCTGCTTGTGGCAAAGCTCAGTAGTGGGTGCCATAAAAGTAAAGTAGTCACTAATATATTCAATAGGGAATTCAGGAGAAACTTCTTTTCCCAGGCTTGGTTATAATATGGAACTCGCTACTGCATTATATTGTTGGGAGAATACATATTTGAGGGGAAACTGGATGAGCACACGAATAAGAAAGGGATGGAAGTCATTTTGATGCGTTTAGATAAAGACAGGTGGGAAAAGGTTCATGAAGCACACAATCTCTGACCTGGAATTGTTGGAATCTGTAGATCCAATGATTAATACAAAGTGCTGAATATACATGACAAGTCAATAATCATCCAGTGAATAAACTGATAGGTGCACAATGACGTTTTGATTTATAAATTTTAATAGTAGTGATAGTACCCAGTGACATGATGAATGTGTGCTTGTGATGTGAATATTCTGGATTTCTAGGGAATAATATACCTAATAGCTTTTCCTCATGTTTGCAGGTGTATACGGTGGTGGATG